GGTTAATATATTTAAATTTGTTTTCCCCCCTCTTTAGAAGGCTCTGTTTATAGAATTTTATGAAAATGTTGTAAAATTCAACTATATCAATAAAAAAAATTTTGAGTAGTAAATATATATGCCAATTTTAAAATGGGCAAAATCATGTCCCACCCAGGACTCATGTCCCTCCTAGGAAATAGGAATGCTGCCAATTGCTGCCCTCCCTGACCCTTTAAATCCCATCCACCACAACCCACCTATAGAATTCCTTTCCCGATTTCACCCCACCTGCATCTAGGATGAATAAAAGACATATTGACCACCAAAAAAAAGGGGGGGGGGGCAAAAGAGGGCTAGGTACAGAGGCTCATGCCTGTAATCCTAGCACTCTGGGAGGCCAAAATGGATGGATTGCCCTGAGCTCACACGTTCAAGAACAGCCTGAGCAAGAGCAAGACCCCTGTCTCTAAAAATAGCCAGGCATTGTGGTGGGTGCCTGTAGTCCCAGCCAATGGTGAGGCTGAGGCAAGAGAATCGCTTGAGCCCAGGAGTTTGAGGTTGCTGTGAACTATGATGCCATGGCACAATACTGAGGGTAACAAAGTGAAACTCTGTCTCAAAAAAAAAAGAAAAAATGGTCAAAAGATTTGGATATACGTTTCTCTAAATAAGATATACAAATTGGAAACAAACACATGAGACAATGGTCAATGTCATTAGTCATTAAGGAAATGCAAATCAAACCACTTCACAATAATTAGAATGACTGTTATCAAAAGATGGACATTAACATATGTTATCAAGGAATTACAGAAATTAGAACCCTTGTACACTGTTGATGGAAATCTAAAATGGTTCAGCTAATCTGGAAAACATTTTGTTAGTTCCTCAAAGTGTTACCTGTATAGTTACTATTTGATTCCATAATTCTACTCTGAGATGTATACTCTAAGAGATCTGGGAACATATGCCCACCCAAGAATTTGAACATGTATGTTCATAGTGGCATTATTCATAAGGGCCAAAGAATGGAAACAGCCCAAATGTCATCACCAGTGAATAGACAAACAAAATATGGTATATTCACATAATGGAATGTTATTCAGCCCTACAAGTGAATGAAGTATGGACCCATATAAGGGAAAGAACTCATTCACAAGTGGTCACATTTTGTATGAGTCCATTTATTAACATATCTAGAACAAGCAATTCCATAAATACAGAGAGCAGATAAGTGGTTGCCAGAGGCTGGAGGCAGGAGAATAGGGGATTTCTGCTTATGGCTATGAGATTCCTTGTTAAGATGATGAAAATGATCTAAAATTATGTGGAGCTCTGTGAACATGCTAAAAAACAGATTTATGTGCTGTGGAGTGATAAATCTTTTGTTATATGAAGGATAACTCAATAAAGTCATTATTTGTAAAAAGTTATGCTAAGCTAACTCTACCTAAAAAATACTGAATATACACTATGTTGTACATAAAGTGGTAAGAGAGATTATTGTACCTATAAAGAAAAGAACTCTGTGAAAAAAGAACAATTAGAGAATAAAAAGAAATATAAAAATTCAAACTTTTAATTATTTATTAAAATGTGGGAAAAAATCAATAAAACTTTTGGAAAATAAAATTTTAAATGCTGCAGAAAATGGAACCAGAATACAACAATAAAAGGAATAATAAAATAAAAAATAAAATTAATCTACAAGTGTCTAAATAATGAGTCCTTAAAGTGAAAAGAGAAGAAAAAGAGGTAAAGAAGTAATCAGTGAAATAAACATTTCTCAAAACTGAGAATCATGTTTCTCCAAATCACATGGGCCCACCAAGAGTCTAACAAGAATTAAAAGTAACTTGCCTTAAGAAATTTCCTTATAAAGTTTAAAATACTGGTTACAAAGAGATAATCTTAAATTCTTTCAAAGAAAATAAACATGAAATACAAACACCAGAGGCCAGAATGGCATCTGACTTAGAGAGCAATATTAAAAGTTAGAGTGTTGGAAGATTGGCTTAAAAATTCTGATGGTGAGGGAAGCACCTGTGGCTCAAAAGAGTAGGGCACTGGCCCCATATACCAGAGGTAGTGTGTTTAAACCTGGCCCTCGCTAAAAACTGAAAAAAAAAAAAAAAAATCTGATGGTGAATAAATTTTAACCTAAATTCTGTATCTAGATAAACTATCAAGTAAGTAGAGGATAGATAATGTGAAAATTTTTATAGTGCAATTTTTTTTTAAAAAATTACCTTTTAGGTGGTGCCTGTAGCTCAGTGGGTAAGGGCACCAGCCACCTGGCCTGCTAACCAACAATGACAACTGCAACAAAAAAATAGCCAGGAATTGTGGCAGGTGCCTGTAGTCCCCGCTACTTGGGAGGCTGAGGCAAGAAAATCACTTAAGCCCAAGAGTTAGAGGTTGCTGTGAGCTATGACTCCACAGCACTCTACCAAGGGAGACATAGTGAGACTCTGTCTCAAAAAAATTACCTTTCATGAATCCTTTTTAAGAAGTTGTTCCACTGTTCTTAGGGAAAAATGAAGTAAGCCAAGAAAGAGGAAACTTTCTTCTACCCAAGAAAGTAGTGAAGTGTTCACATGACACCATTACACAAGACCTGTTGAGAAACAAAGTCATAGGAGCATGGGTGTGAAGGAGGGGTTTTTTTTGTTTTTGTTGTTGTTGTTATTGTTGTTTGAGACAAAGTCTTGCTCTATCTCCCTGAGTAGAGTGCAGTGGCATCATCATAGCTCACAGCAACCTCAAATTCCTGGTCTCAAGTAGTCCTTTTCCTACAGCCTCCCAAGTGGTTAGGACTGCCAGCGTGCCTCACAATGCCTGGCTAATTGTTCTATTTTTCATAGAGAAGGGTCTCACTCTTGCTCAAGCTATTCTCCAACTCCTCAGCTCATGCAGTCCTCCCACTTTGGCCTCACAGAGTGCTAGGATTACAGGTATTAGTCACTTTACCCAGCCACATCAGTGCTTTTGGAAAATGAAAGATTCAGACACATGTTTGAAAAATCTGTTGGACAAACTGGTTAGAAAATGTTAGGTAGATGTAAATAAGAAACACAACAGAGGGCAAGATGGCTAACTAGAGACATCCTTGCTGGAATGTCCCAGAGGGAAGGCGTGTTTCAGATAAAGGAAAGAGGGCAATAGGTTCAGGTATAAGTTGGAGGAAGAGGTTCTGAAGATTGTTGGGGACTTCGTGGTGGGAAATTGCAAAGCAGAACCAAAAAAGGGAGAAAGATAAAGGGGAGAGACCAGTAGGGATCAAACCCAGAAAGGCTTAGAGGCCAATGAAGGAGGATCCCATTTCTCCTTATTACACACCTTTGATAATCAGTGGGCTACTGTGTTGTTTGGAAGCTTTTCTGCACATGTGACCCTGGGTTCTGCTGCAACCACTGAATTGTGTGGAGAACTGACATGATCCCAGAGCCTGGACGTTCAGTGCAGGCCTCTTTCCAGGGAAAGGAATGGAGAAGCCAGTGTCTGGGCTCTTTTCCATCCGGACTCTTTTTCTCCCTGGCCTCTCCCTACTCTGCAGCCAGGAGGGCAGATGGAGACTTTCAGTAGACTTCTCCTTGCACCTTACAGTGTTCACTAGCACACAGAACTCTGTGTTGTACACTGAGATTGGGGACTGAGCAAGCCTCCTCCCCATTATGGACCTGAGCAGAGGAGAACCACAAATGCTCCAGGTGTTCAGGAAGTCTTGGGTGTTAGCTTCACAAAAGTTCCATCTAGGGTCCTCCCCTTCCCCAAACTAAAAAGGAGAATTCCCAGGAAGGGAAAACAAGTACCCTACAATCCTGTTAACCCAAGCCAAGAGATGAGAAACCAGATGAAAAGAAATCAACAAAAGAAACTTGGTAACATAAAAAATAAAGTAGCTCAACACCACTATAAGATCATAAGGAAGCAAAAGTAGTATATTCTATCTGCAAGACAATTGCTGAAATGACAGAAATGGAATTCAGATTATAGATGGCAAATAAGATTAATGAAATTGAGGAAAAGTTGAAAATCAACAAAAAGAAGCCAAAAAAATTTTTAAGAAATTAATGGAAAAGTCATGAAAGAGCTAGACAAAATAAGAAAGTATATAATAGCACTTAAAGAATTTTAAAAAGTCATTTAAGGAACTTCAAAATGCATCAGAGATCATCAACAACACACTAAGCAAGGATAAGAAAGAACCTCAAAGTTTGAAGACAAAGCTCTCAGGATAACCCAGTCATACGCAAAGACAGGGAAGAGTATAGAAAATCTAAAAATCACTGAGAGAGATACAGAACTATGTGAAATGAACTAACATTTGAATTAAAGGTACTCCTGAGGGGGAAGAAGAAAGAGATAAAAGCACAGAAACCCTATTTGAGGAAATTATTGAGGAAAACTTCTCTAGTATTGCTAGAGATTCAATGAGATACAAGATGGATATCAAATACCAGTGTAGAAGCAAGGGAAACTTGCCCTTGATCCCCAAAAGTTCACTGCAAGATCAACTCACAAATAAGGCAGATTAATGAGAGAAATGTTTATTTCCAAATACCATGCACATGGAGCGGATTGCAAGAGTGACTACCAAATGTCTCAATGATGATCAGATAGAGACTTTTTAGAAGGGAGGAAGAGAAGGGCTTGCTAGGGATAATATACAGGTGGGGGAAATAGATTGACTTATAAATTAACCTGAGACAGGCACTGTGTTTTAAAATATTTTGGACCAGGACTGCTAGCATTCAGGGGAGGAAAGGAAGTCAGTTGCCCTCCATAGATCTTTTGATCAGGCCAGTCCAATTTTATGTAGACAGAAGGCCCCTTTCAAATGCTTTCTGATCTCAAATGGCCTTTCATTAAAATATTCTTTATAACAAATAGTTATATCTTGAGGTAAAATTTCCTTAGCTCCTTCACCAAGAAGAATCATAGCAATGGCAGACCCGGAAGCCGCTGTAGAGGAAAGCAGGCAACCGGGTGGCTGGATTGACATTTAATGATTTATATTTGGTAAGGAAGACTCCCAGATCCAGAGAAAGAAGAAAGAAGAGGAGTTCAGAATGGCTCTTACTCAGGGACGCTTGACATTTAGGGATGTGACCATAGAATTCTCTCAGGAGGAGTGGCAGTGCCTGGACCCTGCTCAGAGAGCTTTGTACAGGGCCGTGATGTTGGAGAACTACAAGAACCTGGTCTCCCTGGGACTCTTGCTTCCTGACCTGACTGTTCTTTCCATGTTGGAGGAAGGGAAAGAGCCCTGGACTGTGGAGACTAAAGTGAAAACAAGAAATTCAAATAAGGGAGAATGGATCAAAGGTGTGCACTCAGGGACGAGCTGTGTATTGGGAATGGAAGCAAGATACAAACCTACTAAAAATCAACTTGGATTAAGCTGTTACTCCCATGTGCCTGAACAGCCATTATTTCAAGATGAAAGGAAAACCGATGAATGGAATGAAGTTGAAAACTCTCTCAATCATATTACCTCATTTTCTCCGCTTGAAAACATCCCTTCCAAGCTCAAAAGCCACATGCTTAATAAAAATCAAAATGATTTTGTCCATTTTCCAACAGTCACACAAGAACTGAACGTACACATTAGGGAAGAACGTTATAGGCATAATGAGTGTGGCAAAGCCTTTAGTGTGTCTTCAAACCCTCCTGATCATAGGGTAGTCCATACAGGAAAGAAACCTGCGAAATGTGAAGAGTGTGGCAAGGGCTTCAGAAAAAATTCAGACTGTACAACATTGGAGAATCCATACTGGGGAGAAACCTTATGGATGTAATGAGTGTGGCAAAGTTTTCAGGAAAAATGCACACCTATTCCAACATCAGAGAATTCACTCTGGGGAAAAACCTGGCAAATGTGCCAAGTGTGGCAGAGCATGTAGTCTTCCTTCAAGGCTTTATAAACATCAGGTAATCCATAATGCAAATAAACTTTTCAAATGCGAGGTGTGTGGCAAAGTTTTCAGGCAAAATGCACACTTAGCAAAGCATCGTAAACTTCACACTGGAGAGAAACCATACAAATGTAATGAGTGTGGCAAGGCTTTTATTTACAGTTCACATCTTATAAAACATGCAAGTGTTCATACTGCACAGAAAACATACAAATGCAATGAGTGGGGCAAGGTCTGTTACAAATCAAACATTTAAAATCATCACAAAACTCATTTTGGAGAGAAACCTTGCAAATGTTACAAAGATGGCAAAAAATTTAGTTGGTCTTCAAGGCTTCCTATACATCAGGTTATCCATAATGCAGATGAACCCTACAAATGTGATGATTGTGGGAAGGTTTTCCGGCACAAATTATCCCTAACAGTTCATCTGAGAATTCATACTGGAGAGAAACCTTACAAATGTAATGAATGTGACAAGGTCTTCAGTCAGAAAGTATCCCTTAGGGTTCATCTGAAAACACATACTGGAGAGAAACCTTACAAATGTAGTGAGTGTGGCAAAGTCTTCCGTCACAAATCAAATCTTAAAAATCATTACACCATCCATTTGGGAGAGAAACCTTACAAGTGTAATGAATGTGGCAAGGCCTTCAGACAGAAGATAGGCCTTACTGTTCATCAGAAAATACATTCTGGAGAGAAACTTTACAAATGTAATGAATGTGGCAAGGCCTTCCGTCATAAATCACACCTTAAAAATCATCATAAAATCCATACAGGGGAGAAACTTTACAAATGTAATGAATGTGACAAGACCTTCAGAGAAAAAACATCCCTTACACGTCACCAGCGAATTCATACTGGAGAGAAACCTTACAAGTGTAATGAGTGTGGCAAGGTCTTCTGTCAACAGTCAACCCTTAAAACTCATCACAGAATCCATACTGAAGAGAAACCATACAAATGTAATGAGTGTGGCAAGGCCTTCAGTTTAAAGTTATATCTTAAAAGTCATCAAAGAATCCATGTGTGAGAGAATCCTTACAAATGTAATGTATGCAGTAATGTCTTTAGTCACATTTCATGCCTTGCACAGCATCGGAGAATTCATTTGTGAGAGACTGCAAATTCCTTGAGAGTGCCAACTCTTCATTATAAGTTCCATCATTAATCAGCATCACAGAGTCTATGCTAAAGAGAAATCAGATAAATACAATGTGTGTGACTGGGGCTTTATCTAGGCCTGACCACTTACTACACAAGTAAAGGTACATCTTCAATGAAACCACCCAAAGAAATGTTTGTTATGTTACTAATACCCAAGGACCAGTCCTCCGGAATGTCAGACAGTTTGCACAGGAAAGAAATCAATCTCTATTTTACTAGTAAAAAAAAAAAAAAAAAAAAAAAGAATCATAGCAACTAGGACAACTCACAACATTGAGTCAACAATAACTCAACAACAACTCACAACAAGTCAACAACATTTAGGATATATAGTAATCAACCCAGCTGAAGTCAAAAGGAGGGAAAAAATTCTATAAGCAGCTGGATATAAGAACAACTGACCTATAAAGGAAAATACATCAGGCTAACAGCAGACTTCTCAGCAAAAACCTTATAACTTTGATACAGGATTCCACCACTCAGGGCTAGACAGGGAGCCCCCCATTCCCTAGGCCCAGGTGAGCTCAGAAGTCAGACCCCCATTTCCAGGCACAAGCAGACTGCCTTTTTCGGGACCAACCCTCTGGGCTCTGATAAGATCATGAACAAAGCCAACCTGTGATGGTTTTTTGGGTGGTTCCACCTTGGGTAGGAGCACATACACTAATCCCTTCTCAGGGACAAAGACTGTAAAGGACCAACTGCCAGCCATGTGTAATCCCCTAGACTTAAAACCCCTAGATAAAAGAGCCTACGGGAGACTCCAGAGTGAGTTCTTCAGTTCTTTCCCCATTCCAGAAGGTCTGGTGCTTTTCTATATTCCTTTCTAACTTCTAATAAAAGTCCTACCTTACCATTGATCTGTGGTCTGTGGGTTCATTCTTCGAATTCCCAAGACCAAGGACCTACTGAAGAGCAGAATTCCAGTATCAACTTTATAAACCAGAAAAAAGTCGGGCTCCATTTTTAATCTTCTTAAACAGAACAACTGCCAGCCTAGAATCTTGTATTCTGGGAAACCAAATTTCACAATTGATATAAAAATTAAGTCTTTGCTAGGCAAGTAAATTTTGTTTCTGCAGTGCAGAAAATTCTCAGAATAGCATTATACTAAAAAGAGCACAATACTCACCAGTATAAAATCACTCACAAAAGCTAAAGCTCACAACTCTTATAAAACAATTACACAAGAGAGGAAATAAAGCAATGAGGTACTACCTAACATGATGAACAGAACATCTCACATATCACTTTTATCTCTTAATTTTAATGGTTTAAAGGCACCACTCAAAAGATATAGGCTGGCTGAATGGAATAAAAACCACAATCCAAGTCTCTGCTATCTTCAGGAAAGTCATTTAAACTGCAAGTGTAGCTGGAATCTCTCCCATGCCAGGTCATTTGTCTAGGAGATCCAAAGAATGAATCCACAGACCATGCAAGTAAGTGAAAGAACAGATTTCTGGATAGATAAAAGGGAAAGAAGAAAGAGCCTTCAGCAAGCCAAAAGGGGTTCCCAAGTAGGTAGCCCACATAGGCCTTCTGTCAAGGAGTTAGTAGACTGCTTTTCCTATCCTTTGGGAAGGGGGGTTTGGAGGAAATGGAATGTCACAATTGTTTGGCACCAGGGATTTGGGGGCAGAAGTTACTTTTAAAACTACCTGTGTAAGGAATGTGTTCCTGCTTAGGTGTGTTCCCTGCTCTAGGAAAGGCAGCCCAGATGAGATACTATGTAGGCTGGTTTTGATGAGCCTATTTGTGCCTAGAAATGGTGTCTGTGATAAGACTGATCTCTGAGCTCATGCAGGCCTAGAAAATGGGGAGACCCTGTCCAGCCCTGAGTGGGGGAACCCTGTATCATAATGACACACACAGACTCAATGTGAAAGAGTTTAAAAAAATATTCCATGCAAGTGAAAACCCAAAGAGGGTTATTAGGTAATGGTAAAGTTAGAAATTCAAAATCCTTAATATTTATGTACCTAATATGGCAGCTCTCGGACACAAATAGCAAATTTTACCAGTGCTATGCAAAGAAACAAAGAGCAACATTGTAATTGCTAGGAATTTTAATACCCCCATGTCAGAGCTAGACAAATCATGAAAGTGGAAAATAAACACTGAACCTGAACAAGACTCCAATTCAGATGGACCAAACAGACATTTACAGAACATTTTACCCAAAAGCCACAGAATATATATTATTCTTTGTAGCACATGGGACATTCTCAAGACTAAGTGTATCTTAAACCAAAAAATAGGCCCCCCAAAATACAAAAAATCAAAATGATAGCATGTATCTTTTCAGACCTCAGTGGAATAAAAATAGAAACAAATCACAAGGGAAACACTGGAACCTACACAAACTCATGAAAATTAGAAAACCTGACACTGAGTGATAATTGGTTCAAGAATGAAATTAAAATAAAAACCAAAAAAATATTTGAACTGAATTATAAAGAGGACACAAGATATCAAATCTATGGGACTTAGCAAAAGAATTCCCCAGAAGAAAATTCATAACTTAAACTGTCTAAATCAAAGAAAAAAAAAGAAAAAATTTCAAATTCACAACTTAATGTCACATCTCAAGGAATAAAAAAGGAAAAGATAACCAATCCCAAGCCAGCAGAAGAAAAGAAATAACAAAAAGCAGAGCAGAACTAAATGGAATGTAAAACAAACAAACACAAAAATACAGAAGATCAACAAAACAAAAAGTTGGTTCTTTGAAAAGAAAAACAAAATCAATAAACCATTTGCTAGATTAAATAGGAATAAAAGAGAAAGGACCCAACAAGTTCAATCACAAATGAAAAAGGAAACATTACAACTGATACCACAGAACATCGTTCATGAATACTATGAAATCCCTATGCACACCAACTAGAATATGTAAGGGAAACAGACAAATGCCTAGAAACATGCAACTGCCAGAAAAATGAAACAAGACCCCTATCTCTCATCACTCACAAAAGTTAATCCAAGATGAATAAAATGTAAGGCATGAAACCATAAGAATTCTCGAGGAAAACATAGGAAAAACTCTTCTAGACATTGGCCTAGGCAAATTATGAATAAGATCACAGTGGCAATCACAGCAATGACAAAAATAAATGGGATTTGACTAAACTAAAAAGTTTATGCATAGGTAAGGAAACTACCAAGAGAGCAAATAGACAACCTACAGAATGGGAGGAAATATTCACAAGCTATACAGCTAATAAAAGGCTAATAACCATAATCTACAAAGAACTCAAGCAAATCAGCAAAAAAACAATCAAAGTACCCCATAGAAAAAAAGCAAAAGACGTGAACTAAAGCTTTTCAAAAGAAAATAGACTAATGGCCAGTAAATACATGAAAAAATACTCAGCATCACTAATCCTTATGGAAATACAAATTAAAACCACAATGATATATTCCCTTACTCCTGTTAGAATGGCTTTTATTAAACAGTTAAAAAACAAGAGATGCTAGCATGGATACCAAGAGAAAATAATGCTTATACACTGTTGGTGGGACTGCAAATTAGTACAATCTCTGTGGAAAACAGTGTGAAGATTTCTCAAAGAAATAAAGTAGATCTTCTACATTTGATCCACCAATCCCAGTTCTAGGTATCTACCCAAAGCAAAAGAAGCTTTTCTATCAAAAAGACACTTGCACTTGAGTGTTTATTTCAGCACAATCTACAGTTACAAAGATGTAGAATCAACACAAGTGCTCATTAATTAATGATGAGCTGTGGTAAATGTATTCCATGAAGTATTGCTCAGCCATAAAAATGGATAAATTAATGCCTTTTGCAACAATTTGGATGGAACTGGGGACCATTCTCCTAAGTGAAATATCTAAATAGAACATTGAACACCACACATGCTAAGTTTTAAATTGGAACTAACTAATGAGCACATTAATACACAAAGGAAAGTAAAACTCAGTGGAAATCAAGCAGAAGGCAGGAGTAGGGGCAGGGGCAGAACCTACCTAGGTAAAATGAGCACTATTTGTGTGATGGGCATGCCTACAGCTATGAGTCAAGCATTACACAAGTGATCCACCTAACCAAAATCATTTTTAGCCCTCAATTTTTTGAAACAAATAAAAACAAACAAACAAAACAAAAGTAAAGTGAAGCAATTATTACCACTCCCCTCTGCAAAAAAGAAATGTTCATCTAAAAGAAAAATACAAGTACAGTACACAAAGTGACTCAGATATAAACAAGATTTTCATACTTAAAATGATGGAAACAGAAACTACTGACTTAACAAAAATATGACATAAATTATATTAGGGGAATGAAAGAAGAAGCAGGTAGTATGAAAATCCTGTAGGAAACAAAATCCCCAACTAACAAAGAAGACATTGACAGATAATAACTAATCTGATAAAGAGATGCTATAGTTACATCCATTAGAATACTAACCAGTTGAAAGGGCCCAAAGTAGTTCTTCCTGAGGAAATGAGGAGAGGTAGGGTGGTACAAGGCAGAGGAACGTACTTTTGTTTTTATGAGAATGTTATAATTTGACTTTGACTTGTAACACATTTGTACATATTGATGAAAATAACTAAATTTAAAAACCAAAATTGGAAACATTTGGGAGATTTGAATAACAAAATGAAAAAACATTCAAATAATGTACTTTAGAAAAAAAAAACAACAACACCAAAACAAGGCCAGGCACAGTGGCTCACACCTGTAATCCTACCACTCTGGGAGGCCGAGGCAAGTGGATTGCTTGAGTTCACACATTCAAGACCAGCCTAAGCAAGAGTAAGACCTCACCTCTAAAAATAGCCAGGCGTTCGTGGTAGGCACCTGTAGTCCCAGTTATGTGGGAGGCTAAAGCAAGAGAATAACTTGAACTCAAGAGTCTGAAGTTGCTGTGAGCTATGACACCACAGCATTCTACTCAGGGTGACAAGTGAGACTCTGTCTCAAAAAAAAAAAAAAATCAATTCAAATAG